CCCCAAAACCCCAAAACCCCAAAACCCCAAAACCCCGAGATTAATGGCTAATATTGGACCTTGACAGATTTCATAAAATTTAAATGAACATCCTACAGCCTGAAGGTCTTAGACATAATAAAGTATCTCTGGGAAATTTCCGGCGTCAATTCTTGAGCTGGAACCTTTAGAGGATGTCTCTACTGTCCAAAGGTTCATGTGGTCATTCTCTACTTCTCTATAATCAGTACCATATTCTCCATAATAAAAGTCCAGATAGCTATCTGATCCTGAAGATCTTGCAAAAGTAGCCATTATCTCCAGCTTGGAGCCTCCTTTTACTAAGTGGAACTTCTTGAGCTTGATTCTATATTCATATGAAACCACTAAATAAGCCAAGAGCGAAGAGAAATAGAGTGGCTAGGTTACCTGCAAAAGTACTTATCTTCATAATCTGTCAATGTCATCTCGTCTTCCTCCACTATTTATCTCATAAGTTCAAAATTTCACAATCGAAAGGTTTAAAGCAAAGATATTTGCAAAATATGTAAGGAGGTTAACAATCAGAGCAATTAGGCAAAGAAATTTTTGAGAATTGGCAATATGAAAGCTAAAGGCTTTTAGATTATTCATTACTAACCTTGCACATCATCAACGTAGACTTTGAAATTAATAGTAAACTCAGGTTCACATGCTCCATAGACGGAGAATCCGTAGACAACCACGTTTTTATTAGGAATGAAGGCCATGGCGTCGTTAGTAGTCCTATGATATCCCCAGTATGGCCAGTTATAGGTGTTCTTGAATCTCATAAACTTGTAAGGTTTAGAAAATCCTGCTGCTCCTATGATCTCCATTTCATCGAAGATATCTGGATATGAGCTCAAGTATTTATCTCCATCTATGGTTGTAGATCCATAAAAGAACTTGAACAGACTAAAAGTCATCCCAGTGATAGCCTCTACATGCTCTCCAAGCTCAGTAGAAAGCTTATTCTGAAGCTTAATAGGTACAACGGCCATCTGTCCAGATCCAGTTTCTGAGTAAATCCTGATGTTAACATTAACGTAATCTCTCAGCAAAGATATTTCATCCAAATCCGTCAGTACTTTCTCATCTTTCCCCTTCTGCTGCACTAGCTTACAGCTCACAGTCTTCCCATCATCCCCCTTCTCACTACTCAAAAGGGTATAAAATCCTTTATCTTTTGGGAAGTAATACAACTTGTTGGTGACCCATCTCATGGTGGATACTGGGAATGACTTGAACACATTAGCTTCTGATAACTCAAGTTTGCCCTCCTCCTAAAGATATTATTAGAATTACCTTGTCTTTCTTGAGCTGGTCTGATGTTTTTTCTTTGATCGAAGGCTTGATATCTCCAAATTCATAGATATCTTGTTCAAGAGTGTTTCTCCAGAGTTTTTCTTTCTCTATACCATACTTAGGTTCTTCAGATTCCATTTCTGATTTTAATTTTATTTAATCCTTGGGTGTTTACATAATGGGGTTTTGGGGTTTTGGGGTTTTGGGGCTTTGGGGTTTTGGGG